CAACCTTGGTTTCAACAATTCTCACTCATATAAACCCTCCTCTTTCTCACTAATTAGATTCCTGGCACTCCACCCGGGGCCTAGCCTTGGATGTCTGCATCCAGATTCCTCAGTCCTTGGATGGGGTTTCTGGCACAATGACGGAGAAATGGCTGAGATCTACATGAACAGCCTGGACATGAGTGGGAGCAATGAAGGGCAAGGGTCGAGGGAAAGAGAGCAGGAGATCCCAGCTGGATCAAGAACAGAGAGGGAAAACAAGGAATTGGAGACCATGGTAAATGAAGACCACATGAGAAAAGGAAGAAACAAAAGAGGCCCACAGAAATCCACAAAGATATCCCCACAAAAGACTGCTGGCAATGGTCGAGAGACAGCCGGGACTGACCTACTCTGGTGATGGGATGGCCATTCTTACCCTCTTATATTTGTTTCACTTCCTCTTCTTTTGTATCCCATAAGTGTTGGTGTGGGTGGATGTAATATAGATAGATGTTCCATGTAGGGGTGCACACTCAGTTTCTGTTATGTATCTCTCCATTGATGGCTACCTATCTCAAAAAGAACTTTCTCTGACCAAAGTCGACAGAAGCCCAAATTTATGGGTATACATAAGTTTTTGAAGGAAGTTTGATAATGTGACTACTTAGCACAATAAGATTAGCAGATTCTACCCTGGGGTCTATGACTTCACAGCCATGTGTTTTAGTACAAGGTCACAATACAAGACTTTAAATTCTTCCTTGTTGAGAAGGCTTCAAATCTAATCAGAAAGCTCTCAGTTACCCATAACAGTCCTGCCACTATTGTACCACTGGGCACATCTTTCCTAGTAGGTTGGTGTTGTAGCATGCTTGGTCCAGTGCTAGGTAAGACCACTGATGTTATTTCTTCCCCAGAAACCTTCATATACCTTCTGACACTATGAAAGGAAGGCATCAAGAAAGAACGTTTTTGTGTCAAGGGCCGTGAGAGTATACCCACCAAATGAATGACTCTTTGATGGGAAGCCCCACCCTACAAGGCCATGAGGTTACTGACTATAAATGACCAGTTGCTCCTTCTCTGTATTTCTCTCGTGTGTCACCTCATTTCTTCCCTAAGAACTGCATTCCTTCCTTAAGAGCAGCTTTGATGTCTCCCCATTTACCATGCATTTCCATGTCATGTGTACATATAATCTCATGATTACATCTCAATTTTATGGGCACACATAATTGTGGATGGTCAAGAGGATGGTTTCTCATTTAACTGTATAATTTGATATATAGAAAATATGCTAAAATATGCTTCATAACTAGATCTATTGTCCCGTGTGACTGTTAGAGGTCTGTGCTCTATCTTTAGTTACTGACAAGGTAAATTGGCCAAACAAAATGTCCTGTGGAACTTTCACAGAGGACTTGCAGGTGCCTGGCCTTGTTGAATCTAATCCCTTCAAAGAATTATAGTGAACTAAAAGTGATAGTGCAGGTGTGCGGCCTTGGTATATCATAGTCCTTCAGGAGATCAATAGCACCTATTGCTTCTTCTACCAGCACCTCCCCACTCTGATTCCCCCCCCAAAAAAAACAATTAACACTTTGTATTTATTTGACACCAGTTTTTAATGCAAGATTTTAGACTCAGTAGATTAACTGCATTTAGATCCTGAGATTCAGGTGCTTAACAGAAAAAGACTGTTAGCTGATTAACCATATCTGGATATTATTAATCATATAAAATAGTACATGTATTATTTGCCTTTTCCTTAAATATCTCATTGGTTTAGTTTCTTCCTTGTACCCTTGTAGCTATCCCTTTAAGAGATAGCCAGAACATTTTACAACCTACAGATGTTGACAGTCACCAATTAAGCTAACCAAGTCTTTGCCAAGTGTGACCCTTATCAGAATGCTTGTCCCTGAGAGTTTGCTT